CCAGGGCTGCATACTGATGATCTGCCTTTGCGGTGTCTCGCAGCTGAGAGAGCTGCATGTCTGAAGCCCGCTGGATGGCGCCGACGTGAAGATCAATGCTTTGCACGATCGCAGCATCCTCCGAGGTCGGCGAAGAGACTGGAGCTCGTGACAATGCATCCGGGATAGCGTGCTGTTTCCCTCGACGCCACGTGGCCTTGAACGAGTACATGCTCGTTTTTTCCTTGAGCCGCTGCAACCGGAGATTTTCCACAGAATCCAGCGTGTAGTCATTCAAAATGGGAATAAGGGGCTTATGGTCCGTCACTACCTCGAAGTGTTGGAGTCCCATCAAGAAGGTTCGACACTTTTGAAGAGCCCAGACGATGGCCAAGAGCTCCAGCTCGACTACCGCGTACCTGGACTCGGCGTCACTTAAGAATCGGGAACCACACTGCACCACTTTCCAGCTTCCCTCATGTTGCTGCATCAGTGCGTAAGCCACTCCCTTCAATCGAGCCGCGTCCGTCAGAAGTGCGGTAGGAAGAGCCGAGTCGAAGTGGGCCAGTGAGTTGGCGTCGAGTAGCACCTCTTTTACCGCATTAAATGCCTCTTCGTGTGCTTCTGTCCAATTGAAGACGTTCTTCGGTTGCAGTAAGCCCCGGAGAGTTTCAGCTGCCCTTGCGATACTCGGCGTGAAGTCATTCAGCTGTTGCACGAGGCCCATAAACGATCGTAAATCTGTGATATTGGACGGTGTGGGGAAGTTGGCAATGGCTGCCAGCTTGCCTGGATCCACAGTTTTACCGTCAGGAGAGACGACGTAGCCACAATACTTCACTTCAGACTGCGCGAAGTGAAATTTCTCCGGCCGAAGAGTGATGCCGTGTTGGCGACATCTTTCGAGGACTGACCGGACTCTGGCGACGTGGGCATCCAGGCTGGCATCGGCGACGATGATGTCATCAACAACTTTGGAGATGTTGCTGATGCCATCCAGGGCAACGTCACCTCTTCTGCAGTAGGAGTCGCCTGTGGAGTTGAGTCCCATCGGTGTTCTCAGGAACTTGAATCTTCCCCATGGGGTGATGAAAGTCGTCAGACTTTGGCTGTCCTCGTCTAGTGGTAGCTGCCAATATCCATTAGCGGCATCGAGGGTGGAGAAGAACTGGGCTCCAGAAGGGAGTGAAGACACTGCATCCTTTGGAGTTCTCATTGGGTGCAGGGGGCGTTGGACTTGCTTGTTAAGCATGGTGTAGTCCACACCCAGTCGTGGTTGACCATTGTGCTTCGGGACGATCACCAGAGGGCTGCACCAGCTGGAAGGGACGTCGCCGACCGGTGCGATGATCCCCCTGCGAACCATGTCCTCCAGCTCCTTCTTGAGTGCGTCTCTCCATGCTATCGGAATGTCTCTCGCCGTGTGTACGGCATATGGCTTCGCGTCTTTCTGGAGATGGATATGGACGGGAAGACCATCCATTGGTTTCAACTCGTCATGAGTAGCGAAAACGTCGGAATACTCCTCCAGAAGTTGTTTCTTCATTCTTTGTATGCGGTCTTTGACTCGCTTGTCGTCTGCCTGATACTGAGGGCGAGCTGTTGCTTCGGTACCATTGCTCCGTTCACTTGGAATTTGCCTCTTCTCGCTTTCACCTGAAGCAGAGGATTCTCGCAGTGGGATGGAGGCCTGATCAAGATCGATTGTCTTCACAAACTTCGCCTGAGGAGCTTGAGGCGTGGGATAATTTTCGGGAAGGATCCCCAGATCCAGAGACGCATACCACGACATCAGTGGGGTCTGTATGTCATCGAATACGTAAACATCATCGTGTGCCTCCCGACTGCCAATCTTGAATGTTGCTGGAAAAATCCCCAGACATGACATTGTCTGTCCGTTGGCGGTGCGGATCGTCTCTTGGTCGCAGGGACGCAGATCGGCGCGCTGCAGACCGAGGTCGGCCAGCTGTGATGACCCGATCACGGATGCTTCTGCGCCAGAGTCTGGCACTGCCTCAATCACACCTCGCGAGGATCGATCGAATGGTCTGAGGATCTGCACACCTACAGTGGGGGCCTTGCGACAGCTCTCCTCTCTGACGACATCAGCGAGCATGATTTGACGCAAAGCAGGCTGCGCTGGTCGTTTCTCCCGTCTTGATGTGTTGACCGGTCGTGTGCGGGGATCAATCTTCTTCTGCCGACAGGCCACTCCCAAGTGTTTTTTCTTCCCACATTGTTCGCAGTATTTACCCCAAGCTGGGCACTGCTCTTGCGATTCATGACCGTCATCGCCACAGAAACCACATTTCTCAAACCGTCTGAGGGGAGTAAACGACGACTTCGATGCACCTGTCCGCTGTTGTGACAGCCGTCCAACTGTTTGGCTCGCCTTGCCATCCAGATCGACTTCATTGGACTTGCTGATTTCGATGGAACGACACTTATCCACCGCAGCTTGGAGTGTCGGGAACGGTCTCATGGCGAGCAGCTGTCGACGTGCCTCCGAATCACGGATCCCAGAGACGATGCGCGTAGTGAGTCTGTCCTCTATGCACTGGTTGCATAGTTCGGCTTCTCCCGCTAGTTCCTTCAGTGCTATGAAGAAGCAGTCAAATGATTCGCCTTCTTGTTGGCGACGTTCTTCAAAGAGCACCCGATCTAGGACAACGTTCCGCTGACTCCTGAGGTATTTTTCGACCTTGTCGAGAACATCCTCTGGGCTGCTGTCGACGTCACCGATGACGTGCTCCAGTGTGGCGCGCATTTCATCGGTGAAACACGAGCGAAGACAGGCGATCTGCTCAGGTGGCGCCAGCTTGTTGAGTCTCGCGAGCGTGGCGTAGTCCCTCCAGGCCTGACGCCAGCTCTTGAACGTCCGCAGTGAGATGTCGCGGCTGAGTTTTTCTGGCGGATGGGCTGCTCTCACGGCAGGACCTTCCGCTCCACCGGTGCCAGCACGGGCGGCTGACGCCGCAGCATCGTCAGGTGGAGCACTGTCGGCTCCAGCTGTGCTGGGGTTGGCGGATTGGGAGATAATCTGAGATAGACGCTGAATCTGCTCCTGATGTTGACGCTCCAGCCGCTCAACTTGTTCCTCATACCGCTGTTCTTGTCGTTCCGCATGGTGGCGCTGCGACTCCAGGAGAGCGGCCACCCACTCTGGGAAAAACTCCTCGCCAGATGCCGCCGATGGTTTCTCCTTCTTCTGAGGGACTTCTTTGGAGGCATGACAAACTGGAAACAGACAAGAGTCGAGTCTTGATTACAGTCACTTGAGTCGTGGGAACACTCGCTCTTGTGGTTGTGACTTGCGAGAGGAAGAGTGCGATATTGTCGGTGGGCGAAAAAGCTGCTCCCGCGTACAGGGCCAGGCGACCCGCTGGGATTCGAACCAGCGACCTACCCGCTACCAGGCAGGCATCATACCACTCCACCAAGCAGCCACTGACATTACGGCCGCTGTTACACCGACTTCTTATACGCTTGACATTTCAACGGTTGGCGCCTTCAGTGCCTCAGGCGATTGAGGCACCGAGCGAACGTTCCAGACGGCGGACACTCAAACATAGACCACATTCCAAAATATGTAAAATCTACGAAGTATGTTATTTCGGTTTTACTGTCGGCTGCGCCATGTTGTGATCTGTACAGTGGTCCTCACGGTTCAGGGATCCGAAGAGTCGTCCGTCTTGCGCACACACGTGTATTCCTCTCGCGACCAACACAGCTCAAGTGAGTGCCAGCTCAGCTGGCCACAGACGCGTATGGCAGCACACATACACCAACGCGAAGGAATCTCCCTCCGCTAATGCTTATGCGCATAACAGTGATCTGTCAAAATGTCAGGGGGGGGGGTCCAGGCCGGGCAGATGCAGGAGGCGGGCTGGATGCAGTCCCGTAGCTCAGCCGGTCCCGTAGCTCAGTTGGTTAGAGCGTTGGACTCCGCGTGGTGAGAGCACGCGTTCCCGGTTATGACAGTCCGGGTTCGAAGCGCGACGGGCGCTCGACATTTATGGGCCTCCTGACAGGTATGGTTGCGGTTGGTGGCAGGCCGTAGCCAGGCGAAGTCAGCGAGGGGACCGGCCGTGCGCGGCTTTGTGCGCACGTTAAACTTTGGACTCTAAATTGTGCCATAGAATCGGAATTGCGCGATCGGAGGGTAGAGGGCAGGGCCATCGCAACAAGGTTCGCTTAGCGGTGGCTCTGTCCTTGTGAATCCTTCCCATCAAAAGGCTCGGACAAAATTTATAAAAAAAAAAATGCAGTACCATTGACTTACATAGCAGTAATTCGTTTTCAGGGGGGGGGGTCCTGACCCCCCCCCCCGAGATCTCCACCTCTGATGCGCATTCTTTGTCATGCAAGACAGAAACGATATAAGATCAAAAGAGGATTAAGTGCACGCTTAATAAGCAATGATTCGCTATAATAAATTTTACCTACGGGCAACGGTCGATCTTTCAAACCGACTTCTTCATAGCCAAGCACTCGCGTTTACTCACTATGCATGCACATCTGGATACCAGCTTCTGTATGTCCGTGCTTGCTCGCATTTGGAGTGCGTCATGCTCATGCCAAATGCATTTCTTGTATAAAAACATGCATATTGATGTACAAAAAAAATAGCACCCTCCGTTTTGTTACAATGGTAACAGCACAAATGCACTGATAAAGCAAGGTTAGACCTAAAACCGTATGATACGTTTATGGCTAGTCTCTCAGCTGTGAGACTCATGTGTCATCCAGCCATCTGTCCATTATATATCGTATTTCATCATGCATCTTATACCCCACCATTCACCAGTCACGCACAAGTCAGTCCCATATTAGTTACCATTGAACTCTTACAGACAGGTCGGCTGCTACTCATCTACTAATTCATTAGCCGGGGACGTCTGCACCCGTTTCCAGGTACGCCCCTCCTCGATCCAGCCCCTGTCGGCACCGACGTGCCCCCTCCCCCCCCCCGGTCGGCACACCGTCGCCGTCGGTCAGTCCGACGCCGACCGTCCGAGGGGTGACAGTGGGAAGACGGGAGTCTTCTGTTACAGGCGGGAGCTGGCGACCGCAGAGTGTCGAGTGCCCCACGGAGCGTGCAGTGCTGAGAGCTGAGAACGAACTTGGTCAGGCGGAGATGCTTGAGGTTCTATTGCATCTTTGAATGTGACTTATGAACTGACCCAGCGGTAATTGACAATACCTGGCAGGTGAGACTAGTAGCCTCTACTGTCGTCAATTTGGAGCTGTTTTACTGACCGTCATCACCAAATGGTTTACTTGATAATATATATTGTTTAAAATACACCGTCATAACGGCATTGAGATGTCAATGGCTTAAAAAATCAACTTTCTTCAGAGTTCAGTGCCTCCGAGTGAATCATGCGCATACATTTACATTCGTGTCGAAAAACGGAACTGATTGAACACGCGAGAGTGTCTGTAATCTGTTCAATGTTTGTACTTACTTACATTGTACAAATAAACCAGGAAGCGATACGATCAGTTGCCGCCTTGAAACATTTGAGCTGTTCATTGCACCACAATGTCTTAGCCTATTATCTGAGCATTTAAGATACGGTAGACTCAAAAGAGTTTCAATAAATTTATTATGCAACTACTCCTAGCAACTAGGGGACAGCACAATCAGGCCAAATCACGGCAGGCAGTGCAAACGGTTCGTCAAGCACATAGATATTGATAACGGTCCCGGGCTGGAAGCTTGTTCATTAGGCTACTATCAATATTTGTTCAGGTAGTGTCCATCAATCCACGCTGCAGAAATGCTTGTTTGGTTATATCGATACACAGGCAAGGTCAAATCTGATCGAACGCTAAGTAATCATGTATGACGGTAGACATAAAAGTAAATGAAAGCATGTGTCAATGAATCGGCTGTAAGCTCCGTAATACATATTGATACGTAATATAACTATTTGATTTAGATAGGATAGTTCACAAGAAAAGGTGTAAGATTCGTTGCCAGTAAAGTTTACTGAATGATTTTCTTATTTCATCGTAATTAGGTTAGTCGACTCTAGCATTTTAATGAAAACCCCTGGACCCCCTGGACCCCGATGGACCCCCTCGGGTTTCGCAAATAACTCATGTGAAAAGCCGCCAATCCAACGAAACTTTCAGTACCCTCCAGTCAATCAGTTTAACCCTCGCCGGCCGAGGGGGGGGGGCGGGTGCCGCCCCCCCATAGGGTTTTTTCGCGATAGCTCCGAACACGCTGGCGATAGAGAGCTGAAACTTGGCATACCTGACCTTTGATCCAAGCCGCATCTTTTGACACCAACCGCATTTTTGGGTCAGGTCAGGTCACTGACCTATGACGTCATAAGTGAACCTCTGCACGGCCTTCAGATGTCGCAACTTCGCAACGCCCTCACTGCCAGAGGAGATGTCACAGGGAAATGAAACTTGCAGGATCTAGTATCCATTATGAGTCCCACAACTTGTATATCTCGGATTTTTCCTAAAGGTCATATGAGGTCAGGTCATTTTCGTGACCTCACCATTATAAGTCAATGGGGAAAAATGAAAACTGCTATTCTGGCGCCGGGAACGATCTCCAACTATCTCAAGCACACAGAATCGTGATTTGATGCACTCCTTGCAAGGTTAGATGCGTCACTTTTGCAATGTTGACCTTGCGTGACGTCATTTATGACGTCATCAAGGTCATATTAGTTTTTCGTCAATAACTCTTGATCAAATTGAGCTAGCGAGTCGGAAAAGCCACCATTGGACTCAGGAAGACCTGCCGAATCGAATGATATGCGACATGACCTCTTTCGACCAACTTCGTGGCCTGGGGGTGCTGACCTGACCTTGACCTGAGGTCAACACCCCAAGTTGACCTGACCCGGACAAAAAGTATACCATTCGACGCGCCTGAGCGAGACGAACACGATGCTGCCAAAATCGGCGCTCTGCGGCCGTTTTTTGCGAAGTTATTCACCAAAAACTGAACCGTACCTTGGGGCACTTGACCTGACCTCAGAGGTCACCGGTTGACCTAGGACCTTAAAATCGGGTACCAATCTCTGCGTCTCGTAACGGCGCACACGCTCGTTTTTTCCGCGACGCGCTAGCTCCACCAGGGGCGAAACGGCGAGGGGGGGGGTCGTACCCGCCCCCCCCTCGGCCGGCGCGTATGTAGAAAACCAATAGGTCCGGCGAGGGTTAACACGTACTCTTCAAACTTCATGACCCCGGCACAAATAACATTTGACGTGTGACCTGTCAATCGAGACCATGTCGGGCTAGAATTGTGTTTCTACGTATGCCAGCGCACATAATCCGTTCGTTCCCAGTTTTTTTTTGCGATTATAAACGTGTAACATGTGAAATGTTGCTTGTCCCATGCATTATGGTGGATGTCAAGGCCAGGTCAAGACCAGACCTGACCTGACTCAGCCTATCCCAAATTTCCTGCTCCGAAAACAAAATACCTTGCGCAAGTTGAGAAGATATGTGGATGCGTGTTCGAATTTCGAAAACCGCGAGTATATGGCGAGTGTATGGTGCCGATGCGGTGCTACGAGACGGTGTTCGTCCCACGCCACACCGGTAAGCGTTGGCGGCCGGCGGCCGGTGGGAACAAGTTAGACGCGCCTCAGCGGGTTCCCACTCCGCTCGATTAACCAGAGCTATGGATCTGAACGGTGCAGAAAACTCGACCGGATGGTTCTGTTGGTCGACTACCCCGCACCTTCCCCCAATTTCCTCCTTCACTGCGCAGTGCCAAACGATTTCTCTTGAAAAATGGCCCACGATTGTGTGCAGTGAATAATGTATGGGTGAGCTAATCGCATCAGGTGTTGAAATGTTCACACACAAATTAACAGCGGCAGCCATGATGGATTATCAGTGCTGGAAACTAAGGCGACGTTCAAAAACATATAGCAAACGAACAAAGCAGTTGGAATCGGACGTACTCGTATATGTCTATATATGTAACAACTACTGGGTAAGGTCCTGCATGCGTAGCAAACTAATCGCACAACAAGAGAGCCAGGTAGGATCAAACGCCCGCAAAATTTACTTAATGTCGTCCTTGCGTGTGACTGAGAGCTTCTGTCATCATAAAGAACCAATGCGTGACATTCGAGAGCACCATTACACTGATGAGAGGTCGAAACTTCGGGTGATCATTTCGCATAATGAGATGCTGGCGGCGGCCTACATTAGCATTAGACGTATACGTTGTTACGAACAAAACGGACAAAGTTAAATACAACCCACCGGAAATATTGTCCAGTGTTTTCGAATACTGCCCATGTTTTACGGGTCCCACAGCCACTCAATGTGTTCCGAAGTAATGATTATTCATACGGCTGTATGCAAAATACCGGGTGGCCCAGAAAAAACGTTCCCAACTTTAAATCATTATTTCTCAGAAAGCGATTAAGATACAACATTGAAACTTCGAATAGTCTATGCGGCACACATTATCAGTAAATGGTGTCATTTTCATGCTGTTCGGTAAATTACTTTTTAAACAGTTCGTGTTTCAAGCATGCCATGTAAAAATTACTTTTTTGCTCCGATGTTTACTCAAAAATGTGAGTGAACGGGTCATTTTCACCCCACGGCACCGCGGCCTAGAGCCATGACTGCTACTGGCAGCTAGTCTCATTGATGGTTCGGGTCTCAGGATGACACATTCCCTCAGGCAACCACGATGGCTCTGTGCCAGCGGCATCGGAAGAAGTTTCCAGTTTTCTAACCATCTTGTGGCTCAAATGCTTTTCTGGCTGACATTCCTGGAAAAGGTAACTTTTTAACCAGTTTTTTTTTTTTGTCATCTGCTGGCAATGTTGTTTTTTATAAGCTATTCTGTGATCTTCTGGCACAGGAACCAGTCTGCTTTAGTTTGTTTTCCTTATCCGGTCGATTTACTGTTTGATCTACTGAAAGGAGGGTAATCAGCAGTGATCCATGCACTGTGCCACTCCTGCTCGAAACATGATTTGGTGTTGAAACGAATGGCATCCATGAGCACCATTTCGGCTCAGTATTTGAATATTTGGCACATAAGTGAGACAAAAATATTTAAAATAAGAAAATACATGTTGTTTTCATTCACGTGCTCTATTTTTTATTCTTTTTTATAACATGGGACGTCTAACCCAATCATCACTATCGTTTGACATCGGCAAAAAAAGCAAAAACGTCTTGCTTACTTCAGCTCAAGATTGCCAGCTTGTAAATGATGGTATAGTGTTGTAATTTGGCATACCAATGCGCAAAGAAATGACGCAAACTTAATGAAAATTTTGGCTCGTTATTTGCACTCGAATTTGATATATAGACCTTCAAAGTTCGGAACGTTTTTTTCTGGGCCACCCGGTATATGACCGTATACCCTAATACAAAGGTACATACCACGTGAAACACGAAGACCTGAGTACTCGTAAATGGTGAGTCTAAGGTGAGCCCATTAGTAAGTCAGAGAGGCAATCAAATTTCACTGATGGCGGAGAGAAGTGTATCTTGTTTTGTAAGACCCAGTTCGATGAACTAAGTGAGTCTCACTGAACTGAATAGTACCAGGTTCTTCTAAATAGGTAAACTAATTGGACTTCATCCAAGCAGATGGACGCATCTTGTTCTTTTCGGGAACGGGAGATGCGCCAGTATATTCCCACGCCTAGTGGCCAAGTGGCCTGACTTTAGTTTTGCCCTTGAACTCAGCCTTTTTTGCGACGATTCAAGCACTACACGAAAATAGTCTTTCGCAATCTAAGCTCTCTACAGATGCGCTATGGATAGATTTTGCCCAACAAATTTTCCTGCCTAGTCTTGGAAGCAACTCATGATAAAATTTATGGTTTTGAGCTGACCTGCAACTGACTGAAGTTTTTCTTCCTCTTTTTTTGTAATCGCATTGTTGCCAAGCGTTTGTCTTCACTCAACCCGTGCCCGTCTCCCTAAATTCACGAGATTCACTCATAACTTCCGTTTGGGCGCAGTTGGAAAAAACTATAGACCCCACTAGTTAGTCAGCTCATCACTGCGCCTCTAGCATCCCCATCCTCAACTGTGGCGCCTCTCCTCGTCCACTGTTATCCGTCTGACGGCTGTCGGTGACACAGGACACGCTGCCCTTTACTTCCACCCCGCACCACCTCCCTCTGAACACCCTATAGTCAGACGCTGTCACGCTGCCCTCCATCCGTCCCCCCAGTCTGCTCGGTGGTGATCCGAAAGGAAATCGACAGCGTGTCAGCCGCCCTGTCCGTGAGACATAAATAACTCAGCCGTCACGTCACCTTGTTCTGTGGGGAGAGACAAGGAAAAAGACTGGTCACTACAACGTGCGATGGCTCGTGGGTGTCTTTGAAGGATTCGTTATATTATTTATAGAAGAAATCCTTCTCTGTTTAAAAGGTAGTAGGAGCAGTTCACAGGAGAGAATAAATGATAAATTATAATGACCAAAAATACTGTCAAAATGTTTTAGAAGTGTTGTTCATCACCTAAGTACCCACCTTTATGGCAGAGTGTGAGGCTAAAGTCACACAACCGCATTGCTACTGACCCGCCAAACTTTCCGTATTTGAGGTCAAATGCCATTTTTGAAGATCAATGTTCTTTCTGCGCTTGACGGGAGGCATGGTTACGGACTGACGAGAAAATAAGGGTCTTTCAGAAGGAAAACTGCAGTACATGCATTGCTGATCAGACAGTAACAGCGCTGCCTAGCGCTGATCGATAGAACAATTACCGGTTTTGCCGGTTGGCTGACACCCAACGTTGAGTCAGTTTTATGTCAAAATAAATAGACTGAGATTGTAGGTGCTCACACCCAAAGCAGTTCTCGGGGGCCATCAGATGGGTGCCAAATGACTCTCACATCACAAGATATTAAGCAAGCCTCCAAGAGGAGAGGTAAAAACGTGAAAATTCAATACAAAGAGCTAACTCAGGAATACTTCAAGTTTACTTAGTTCTGAGAAGAGGGTGTTTATGAAGAGCGTGAAGTTTCATGAAGTTAAGTGAATCTGAAAGCACAGCACCTGACCCTAGTGTAAATAACTTTGCCAAAGCCGCGGACGTGACCTTCAAAAAATCATGGACCCGAACTTTGATGGAGTGACGGATCATTTCTCCGAAATTACGAGAGCTTTGTTTCCCCACAGGGCCGAGATTCGAGTATCGATCCCACCAGGCGACACAGACGCAGTGGGTGCCACTGCGCTGCACTGAACACACAAAGATGCCAATCGATGACACTAAAAAGGCATCACTGTGCCTGTTTGTTTAGCTCGACTCTTGTATTTGCTTTCCTCTAATCACAAAACTTCTTGTTCATTCATAATTCTTCTCTTGTTCCAGTGCTCGTGGAGACTGCCCTGGGGTACTCCAGTTGACCTGTCCGGTGACCTGACTTTGGACGACCGTGGAGACCTCCGTCAGCCTGGAAGAGTGCGGCTGCATCACGAGCCAGCAGGATGTGCGCACAGAGGCGCCCCTCAGCGACAGCAGAGGTCAGTGGCGGTGATGCCGCTCAAATGATATCGACTTTGTTTTTAGCTAATGGACGGTCATCGATAGGGATCCTAATGTGTAGGAAGTGATTTACATCGGAGCTGCGGAAACAGGAAATGAGCTAGGAAGTTTTTTCTTGTTAGTCTGCGTTGTATGAATATACAGAGAAGCTTCTCGCAAAAACGGTGCAAGAGCTATATAAGCACTCGTGTAAGCGTTTATTCGAGTAGAGGCGAATACATCAGTAACTAATATATCACTCAATCTCCTAAATTAGGCACTCTGTGGCACTGGGACTCGGATCGCTAGGACCGTTGAGCACCGTCCCACAAGGCAGTCAGCAGCCACACAGTTGCAGCCGATCAATAGAGGGCTGTTTTCTCCACGGGTCATTTGATGTCGCCCGAGTCTTCAGGCCACTTAGTGTCACTCAGTCACCCAGGTCACTCAGGGACACTCGGGTTTCTCCGCTACCCTGTAAGTAACTAAGGTCATTCAATCCTATAACAGGTCACCATTCAGACCATTCAGTCTTCTTCCATATTAGCTACAAAATCATTCATCAAGTCACCCATGGCCGCCTGGGCCACTCAGGGTTAGTTTCGTCAAGTCGTTTAGGCCACTTAGTCTTCCAACAGTTCACTCAGTATGTTAAAGGTTATATTTTGTCTTCTTCCTTCTCACTCGGGGTCATTCTCGTCTGCGCTTGGTCACTCTGAGTTAGTCACTCTGTCACTCTGAGTTAATTAGCTCTCACTTTAGTCCTCAATGTCGTCCAGTTACCCACCATACGCTATGGGACGGAACGCCTCCCCAGCGGCGCAGGCGTTGGCGGAGGCCAGCAGCTCTTTGGGGCTCCACTCTCCGTTCAGCAGACAATGGTGCCTGCAGCGGTAGTGAGCGCAGCAGAGCGGGTGCTCTCCTCGCACTATGTCCTGACCCATCAGCACACAGTCGGGGTGCGCCGGCGGCGGGCCGGGCCGACTGCACGTGCGGCGCACCACGTCCACGATTCCAGAGGGAGACACACGGCAGTGGTGGAGCACACAGTTGGGCCCCGTCCACTGCTCGCCGGGCCCGAAGTAGCGTTCGTGTTCCGGTGAGTAGCACTGCTGGCAAGTGAGGCGTGGACAGCAGAGAGGAAATGGTGCGCTGGGCGCGGTGGGTGGATCCTGCCGGTGGCAGGCGTTGGTCTCGGCGTCGGCACACCGATCCACCTGTAGACCGTACTGGTCTGAGCAGGTGATCATGCCACCGCAGTCGGGCAGCATCCTCTGCTCGCCCTCACTCAGCGTGACATTAAGCTCGTAGGAGAAGCAGCCCTCAGAAAACTGAGCCAACACTGGCCCGAGGCAGAACTCCAGCAGCAGCGCCAAGCAGAGTAGAATGCTGAACCAGGTGCTGGACATGTTGAAAACGACGGACTTGTGCTGTGCTCTGGCTGGACACTGGCAGGCTGCGACTGAAGGCGGATCAAAGCCGTGGCCAGAGCGAAACCAGACTATCAGCACAGCCAATGGTCGGCTTTTTATGTACCCCGGCCTCACGGATATACGAGCACGACCTTGGGTTCGGCTGCTGGCCCGGCACTTGGCTGCAGTAAATGGCGCAGTGTGGCGCCAGCGTTCCGATCGTCTGTCGCCTGCGGGCCAAGTGCTTAGGAGACATGCTCTGCTCCTCACTCGAGCCTATGACCATTGGCCAGAGAGATGATAAGCGGGTGGGGATTTCGACAATTTTCCCTGAGTGCTATCGTCGACAGGCAGCACATTGGAGAAAAACATCGCTTACGTTTTGTGGTAGTTATTTATGCAAGCATTGTGAACCAGACCATCCATCCAGGGACTCAGATTACGATATTATTGAAAAATAAATGCATTCGGTTAAACATTTAAGCATCTGTAGGTATGCATCTTCAATCAACAGCGTATGATGTCCGTGGAAGTAACACCACATACGCCGAATGCCACCTGTCTTGTAACATCAACATCATCCATTTACACTCAGTGTTCTTTTCACGGTTTCCCTGCCTCTGTCAATTTCGAACACAAACACAGAGAAACGGTTTTCCATACCATAGCCGACGCTCGCAGCCGTAGACACTTGTCGTTTATTTCCACAGGGAAATTCTTACTAACAGAAACGTAAATGCATTGTAACCGTCCGCAGACCTTCCATTTCAAAACAGCCCAAATCAAATAACAGCTGCCTAAATCAAATAATCGGCATAGTGCGCATCCTTCCACACAGCGACTCCAAACACGGGCTCAGCGTTTCTCTGAGGGTGGTGTGTTTGTGTTTGTTGTGCAGATGTCAGCCCGGTGGAGGCGCGGCGGCTCTTCACGGCCGAGGAGGTGTGCCTGGTGCTGCTTGTGCTGCTCCTCTGGGTGGCGGCTATCGCTCTCTTCATCAACCGCTGGGGCAAGATCCGGATGCTGGAGCCCTGTCTGCCCTACAAGCTGGCGACACTTGGAGCAGAAACGCCAATGACAGTGCAGGTATGTTTCTCGCTTGATCGTTTAAGATATGGGTCCATTTGTCGGTTTGCGTTGCCGAGTTACGCTAAATCAAACCTATGCTCTCTCATTGTGTTTATGATATCCCTTTCAATAAAACCATACAAGGAAAAAACCGCAGAATGGAAAATACGGCTTTGTTAGCCTCGAGTTGATCACATATTTCTTTTTTCGCATTTTGTGAACCAAAGAAAATGAGTAATTATAGGAAAATATGATGTTTTATACCTATCGCGTGATTGTGATATAATTTGCAATTTTCTAGTTCAGACAGAAGCCAACTAACATAAACCATTGTAAAATAAGAACATATAATGATGGACCAAATGTTCATCGCAAAGCCCGTGCCAAAGTGACCTCCGCTTGAGACTGATGAGTCCCACCCACACCCCTGTATCGATCTCGTTGCCTCGGTTGGTGTCTCTTCCAACGGACCTATAGAACATGGCTTCCGGAGTTCGCTGTAGGTACAGTTCCGAGTGACTACTGGCTACAGCTCTGGAGTGCGTTAGAGCCACTGCTGTTCAGTGAAGAGAGCTATAGACCGTAATATCTACATGTGGAGCTCTATAGGTTTCTATAGACCTCTGTAGAAGTCAATGGCAGAGTCAATCAGTCCGTGTAGACACACGGGGATCTTTTCACAGCTCTTAAGGTTTCCATATTGGTCTCCATACATGTAGGTTTCCATATCAGCGTCACAGGTCCGATACATGAGGATGGTGGTTCCCATGAATACAGCATGATTACATGGGATGCTTTCAAAGTTTCAGGCTACGGCAAACTAATTATGATCTAGATGTAAGGCATTCTGAAAAAAATATAATGACATTGGGCAAATTTTGACCTTTGATGACCTCTGGTGACCCCAATGTTGCTCTAAGATGAAAAATAGCTAAACTACTTTCAAACGTACGCATTGAGAGCTATCGACTGCTTTTTACCGCGTCTTTCTAGCCCTCTTAGTTTTTTTTTCCTGAGTTACAGGTGGATGGTAACATATACCCCCCCCCCCCCCCACTATGCGAAGTTGGCTGAGACCGCCACTGGGGCGCGGGTTAAAAGAGACGCCCCAAATGAAGCCGACTTGTAAATGTTCAAATCCCAGTTTGTGACATCTGGTCAGCAGGCAGTTGACGCCAACTGGATTTTTGAAACATAGTGATTTTTTTAATTAGTTTTCGCTCTTCCGTCTATATTTCAGCAACTATACAGTCTTCAGCGCTTACAGCCGCATTCCATCTCCAAGCTTCAGTGCACTCATCTGAACTTCAGAATGTATCAGACCATAAAACAGCCTAAGAAGCCTGGCCCGATATGGCCTGTGCCAGACCGCTGCGCTCGTGTAGTGTTATTGTTATGTTTGATGTTGGAGAGTTCTTATGTTGTGTTGGATCATTACGCTGGACCATCGGCTGCTCCATGACGGGCGTGACGCAGTTCCGATGGTTTTCTCCGCTCGGTCTACATGCGATCAGCCGAGACCATTTGGACATTTACTGCACCATGTGCGGGGCACAATGCCGGTTTACGACGGTCTTCTGGGGCTTGACCTTGTCGCTTCCCAAAAGCAGCGCAGTTAAAGATGTACTTTATGTGGGAAACAGTTCAAATGTGCTCTAGAGTTTCCATCGGACTGAAATTTGGTTAAGTGCCCTTTTTACGTTAAATACTCTTGTTCTGCATTGACTTGGGGAAAACTTGCTAGGAATCATGGTTTGTCACATGACAGAATAAAAATTAGGCATAGATCAAGTAGGGTAAGGGCGGGTAAGAGGACGCGGGCGATAATAGTACGCATCAGCTGTTTCGGTTGCCTAGCAACGCGGTTTTGTCGAGTTCATGAAGTGACATGAAGCCGCCAGTACGTGTTTGTCACCAACGGAACGTGGACGTTGTGCGGCGACGCTGTTGAGTTTAAGGCGATGAATATTATTTTGAAGCGTTATGATATTATTATGGTATGGTACAATAATTTTGATACTTGGCAGTTGAGATAAGGTACATTTTCGTGATTGTTGTGGGAAACGTGTGAGGTTTTCTGGTGAAATACTGTGCAGTGCAATTTTCTGTTTGTGAAGTTTTACACAATGTTTCGGGGTTGTTTTGTGCGCGAATTGCATGTAGGGTAAGAGTACGCACTGTTCATGAGGGTAAGAGTACGCAGAATTATACATTATATCGAATAGGGTAAGGGCGGGTAAGAGTACGCGGGCGATAAGAGTACGCATCAGCTGTTTCGGTTGCTTAGCAACGCGGGTTTGTCAAGTTCATGAAGTGACATGAAGCCGCCAGTGCGTGCATGTCACCAACGGAACGTGGGCGTTGAGCGGCGACGCTGTTGAGTTTAAGGCGATGAATATTATTTTCGAGCGTTATGATATTATTTTGGTATGGTACAATAATTTTGATACTTGACAGTTGAGATAAGGTACATTTCCGTGATTGTTGTGGGAAACTTGTGAGGTTATCTGGGGAAATACTGTACAGTGCAATATTCTGTTTGCGAAGTTTTGCACAACGTTTCGGGGTTGTTTTGTGCGCGAAATGCATGTACGGTAAGAGGACGCACTGTTCAGGAGGGTAAGAGTACGCAGAATTATACATTAAATCGAATATACAGAAATATAGAATTATTAATCTATCGCTCAATGACGTTTGTTTTGTAGGTATATCATCAATGGAGCACTGTGATGCAGATGCGTACCCGAAATTCTTCCAAATACGAGTTATTCTTCTCCTTTTTGATTGTGCATTTTTTAAGAAACACACGACATGATTATTTCCTGATTTATAGACTTGAAAGATTTATATTATGTTTTTCTTTTTGGAAACTAGAATTACCTTAAATGCCTTCTGAGTTTGAAGTTAAGCATTTGGACAGTGCAAGCTGCATAGGTGTGTGTTCATATGCTTGCGTACTCCACCCGCCTGGCGTGCGTACTCTTACACACCCCATATGGTAAGAGTACGCAAGTGCAACGGTTCAGAAAATGTCAGTTTTAGACCACTTCCATTTACGCTGAAGGATCGTTGCCCCATGGGTTGATGGCTAATTCAATGAACTTTAATATTCCCTATTTGCGATTTCTTTCCTTCAAATATTAACCCTCGCCCGCACATGGGGGGGTGGTTGCCACCCCCCCCCCCCCAGGCAGTCTTTCTGCTCTGCACTCAACATTTTTAGAGCTAGAAGGCTGATTTTTCGTATAGCTGCTCGTCCATCCTTTCTTGATGTCCACTGAAAATTTCAAGTTTTTGTAATTTTTGGTTTCGGAGATATGACCTTGTTTTTCAGGTCATGTCATGACCCAAATGGCCAATTCTCAACATCTTGCGTTTGCCATGGGCCTTGTGAGCTTTTGACACCCTGATTTCGGCCTTTTTTGCCAGTCTTACCTCCCACCTATCATGAAACATGTTGTTCGACGATGTACAGGGGTCAAGGTCAGGGTCAAGGTCAACCTAGGTCATCTAAGATAATTGCGTTTTAGGCAAGCTGAATTTACTTTTTGTGAAGTTTTTTGACTGCATTTTTGGTAAAAGCTTCTCAGATCATGATTTCATGTGATATGGACCCAAAAACAATCGGTGCACACATCAGTATACACACAGACACACACAGACATACAAACACATATAAATGACCTTGACCTAACTTGACCTGAAATGACCTCAGCAGCAAAATTCTGGTCGGATAGTGTGACAAAGAGGTTCTAGCTGGCTTGGCACCAGAAAACAGCATCGTCATCGGTATTTGATAAGCAGCACACTTGATATCCAACGGTGACCCAAAACAGCAACATTTTTTAGTTTGACCTGACCTGGAAGGTCAATGACTGACCTGAGAAGGTAAAACTGGGTATCATTGGATTCGTCTCTTCCCAAAGAATCTTTTTGGTTTTTACTGCTAAGCTCTATCTCCAACAGGAACGAAATGGCGCGGGGGGGGGGGGTGGCAACCACCCCCCCCCCCCCATGTGCGTTCTAGGATGGGAAAATGGCATGTGCGGGCGAGGGTTAAACAAATGAGAGCAAGAAATCCACTAAGTGCGTACTCTTATACGACTTCACCCTATACAGAAATATCAAATTATTGATATATCGCTCAATGACGTTTGTTTTGTAGGTATATCATCAATGGAGCACTGTGAGGCAGATGAGTACCCGAAATTCTTCTAAATACGATTTATTCTCCCTTTTGCTTGTACATTTTTAGAGTCACATGACTTGATTATTTCTTAATTTATAGATATGCAAGATTTATTTTATGTTTTTTTTCTTTTTTGATACTAGAATTAAATTAAATGTCTTCTAAGTTTGATGTTAAGCATTTGGACAGTAAAAGCTGTCTATAGGTGCGTGTTTATATGCTTGCGTACTCCACCCTCATGGTGTGCGTACTCTTACACACCCCATGTGGTAAGAGTACGCAACAGCAGCGGTTCAGAAAACGTCAGTTTTAGACCACTTCCATTTACGCTGAAGGATCGTTGCATCATGGGTTGATGGCGAATTCAATGAACTTTAATATGCTATGTTTGCGATTTCTTTCTTTCAAATATTTAACAAACGAGAGCAAAAAATCCACTAAGTGCGTACTCTTATACGACTTCACCCTACTTGCCTTTTCAAATATGTCATTTGATTTGTATTCGCAAGTCACGAGCACGCGCTTTACAGAAGCATGTTAAGACGACTTCACACTATTGCTAACTAAAAGCTTGTTTGAAGCCTCTCCAGAAAAAGTTCAAAACTACCAACTAATAAATGAAAGGAACTAGAGCCCTAGAACATCAGTTTTAGTTATTGCTTGACATTTACCTAGCAGGAGCGTTCATGGGGTGCATTTTTATTGAATCGCCATTCATGTCTAATGCATCGATAAGACTGTGTCTCTTAAATACGGTGCCGGTCAATTCATTTCAATCAAACCTTCAGAGAAAGAAGTTGACACCGGCCACGGCTTTAAAGTTCGGAGT